GGGGGGCGGGCGGTTAGTAGAAGGACCTGGGAACAGAACTGTTTTTTCTTTTGGCTCACAGGCTAGTGCCCTATCTGTTATTCCATGCTGCCTTTCTTCAGTACTCAATAAAAATAGCATGTAACAAAAATATGTTTAAAAGACAGCTATTTATTATTTATTTATTTAGAAAGAAGCGACTTTCATTTTACAATAACTGTAACTAATAACTGAAATTCATGCTGTGAGTTGCACATGCACGCTGATTATTATTGTTTGTGTTATGATCAAAGCACATCAGGCGATACAGTCCCAAAAATATATATCATCTAAACAGACTATGCAAACTCAGGCTGGAGGGGAACTGGGATGTAAAAGGTGAAGCGATTTCCTGGAGACATCTAGCATGGAGCCCATGTCTTCGAACTCCCAGTCAGTGTTCTGTCCCCTGCACCCTTCTGCCTCTGCCTAACATTGCATTTTGGGAGCAAGTTGATTATCTTGCAAGTCACATGCCTGTATGTTATGATATTATAGATACAGTTTTGCACAGCAACATGACTGTATGTTCAGCATAATGATACAGGTTTCCTCCACGGTTTTGCCAACCACGATTTTGAGTATCTATGCTTAATATTCTATATACCATTTTGGCTACCACAGTATACAGTTTTGAGTAACCACAGTTTTCTGTGGCCATGCATCAGTCCTCCATCTGCCATTTTTCCTATAAGCCTTTTGTCTTGCCAACCATGGTTTTGCCAACCACGGGAACTGTCAGGAACCTAGCCCCAGCAGTTGGCGAGGGAAACCTTCATAAATGCTGATATGAGAGCTAGAGTTCTATGGCCTACTTTCAGCAAGTAAGCCAATTCACCAAGCACCAAGGAAATTAATTCCAGCTCTTTTCTCTTGCTTGTCCCCAAGGCTGGAGATAGAAATTACACATAAACCAGTTTAAGTGATCAGAAACTGGTTTAAACCCATAACAGAACAGAAGTTCAGTGCACATAAACCAGTTTTAAAATGTCTGAAACTGGTTTAAGATAAACGTGATTGAATGTAGTATCAGGCTTAACTGATTTGAGTCAAACATCTTTATAGAACTTTTGTCCCAGACCCCTTCCGGGTTCAAGTTAAATTACAGTCCTCCAGCATCCCAGGATGCTTTGCAGCCCTGGGGTAGGCTGTGCTGTCTGTCTTGGCAGAGCAGGGTTGGCCCCGCCCACTGCTCCCTAGCTATAGCAGTAAGGACTGGCTGACAAGTGGGTGGGGTGGGAAACTGGGCTGGAGAGTAGCCCATGCCAGACTTTTCCTCTGTTGGAGTGGAGGGGGCAGGGGGCATAGGCCAGCAGGTTCACATGGAGAGGAGGGAGGGGGGTTTAAACCCCCTCCACGGCCAACAAGATCCCCAGCCCAGGTCTGTGCGTGGGAGTCTGCCTACTTCTGCCCTCCTCCCACCCTGCTCCATGCTCCAGTGGAGGGCATGGCTATGCCTGGCTGGGACTGGCAGGGTGAGGTGGGAAAGTAGGGTTTAATCCAGTCTCCCTCACCCCTCCCACTGGCACAGGAACCTAGCTGGGGTCTGCCTGGTCTCCCCCTTCTACTTGCCCCTCGAGCAGCAGTGAGCATGGCCAGACACTGGCCGGAGGTGAAGGGGGGGGAAGGGAGGGCCACGCAGGCAGAAAGCCAGGCAGACCCTGGCTGGGGTCCTGTGCTGGCAGGAGAGGGGAGGGAGCGGGGGTTTAATCCCCTTCCTGGCCCCCGCTTTTAGTTCTGGCCTCACCCCCTGCCACTTAAGCTGTGAGTGGGGGTGAGGGAGGGGAAGCCAGGCAAACCTGGGCTGGGGGTCTCTGCCAATGAGGGTGGGGGGAAGTGGGGTTTAATCCTCCTCCCTACCCCGCTTTGCCTCATGCTGCCGGACGCTGACTGGGGCTGGCATCTGGCCACGCCCCCTACCGCTTAGGGACAAAACTGGCAAGGGCTGCTTCCCTCCTCCCCCTCCAAGCATGCCCTGGCTGGGGACTGTGCCTATCTATCACCTTGGAGTCGTCATTGATGCCACAATGAACATGGGCCGACAGTGTGGGGAAGCGGTCAGGAAGGCCAACCATATCTTGTCGTGCATCCACAGATGCATCTCAAGCAGGTCCAAGGAGGTGATCCTCCCCCTCTATGCGACACTGGTCAGGCCGCAGCTGGAGTACTGCGTCCAGTTCTGGGCACCACACTTCAGGAGAGATGTGACCAATATGGAGAGGGTCCAAAGGAGGGCCACCACCCACATGATCGGGGTCAGCCTGGCAGGCCCTATGTGGAGAGGCTGAGGGACCTGAACCTGTTCAGCCTTCAAAAGAGAAGGCTGAGAAGGGATCTAGTGGCAGTCTACAAACTAGTCAAGGGGGACCTTAGGCTGCTCTGGATTTCTCTGGTCAGCCAAGGAAGCCTCTTGGCCCCTTTTCCCCGCATTGGGATTGTCTCCCTCTGTGCCCAAAGGATCATTTCCTTAAGGCACAGCCACTCAGGTAAAGTCCCTGAACAAATCCAGTACATTTATCAACATAGTTTCTGTCTTGGGTCTAAATGAATAGATTGAAGTTAGCTTTCTATGACCAGCTCTTGTGACTTGATAACTGTAATCTTCTTAAACATTGTCATCTTTATGGTATGTCATCATTTATGGCATCTGCAGGGCAATTTAAATGAAAGGGAGAAGACACCCATATACTTTATTTTGGAACTGGATGTGTGAGTCCTGATTTTAGAGAAGAGCATTTGATACAGTTAGTCCTAATCTGCAGCTGAGCAAATTCTTGAATTGACCACCAAAAAACAGATGCTGTGCTTCAGTATATTTGAAAACATTCATGAACAATTTAGCTGCAGGGGGTGACTCTTTAAATGAGCCCCAGGTTAATCTGGGCAGGTTACCTAGCACATTACAACAGCTACTTGAAATCACTGATTGATGAGGGCATCTTCTAAGAATTTGGCTTAGAAAGTGTGCATAGCTTGGAGATGGTTCAGCTGAGGTAACAGCTGCAATTAAAACTTTCAGGCCAATTGTCAGAAAACAAAACAGAAACATGTCCAGTCACTAAGTGGTAGACAGAATTGGGGTTCAGACCTCTCTCTCACAAATCTTTGCCTTTTGTCTCCCAAAGAGCTGCACATAGGGCTTCCTGGCCTGCCTCCTGGGGAATCTTTTTGGTCAGTGATCTCAAGCCCTGCCTAATTTATTTTCACATGAGCACCTATGCAGCAGAAGGGAATGGGGAGCAGTGATTAATCCCTTTTGTACTGTTATCAGGCAAGTCTTTGGACCTTGGCCCAGCTACCCTTCTAGAAGAGAGCAGCCGAAGTTCTCTTCCCAGCTCTGTTACAACTTTTTGAGTAGTGTTTTGCCTCCCTGTGCCACATTTACTCTATCTGTGAGTGTCTGGAGATCTATAGCTGGAAAGCAGAATAAGTGCAAAAGGTGGCTGTTTTTATTACCACATTTAACCATTCTGCTCTTTCACTGTGTGGTTCCCTGGAATGGTTTTATCCAAACACTTGATTTCATGTGATTAATTACTTTAATTAAATATTCCTGACCATGCACACACAAGCAAAATGCATATATGGCAGTATTTGCAACTCCCATTAGGTGATGGTAGACTTCTGATTGTTCCATTCGGAATTGTTCTCCTTGGTAATAAAACTCCCTAAGGATTTGCTGTAGCCGACCTTCCAGATTTTCTTTCTCTTTCTGCCTTTCCCCTATCCTACTATACTTTGCTTTCATTTCATAATAATATTACTTAGCTCTGGGAAGTATTTTGAGACACCTTTTAACCAAATATGTGGATCCAACTCAGGTTGTGTTGTATAAATGTGCTCTCCTGGATTGCAGGTACTGCTCAGATACCTGGCAGGACCCTGGACTTGGCTGCCAAAGCACAAGGCTGTTGAGAAGCACAGAAATGCCAACAGCCCCATTGAAATGTAAATGAATTTCTTAGGCTGACCTTTCTGTAAGTGTTTGAGTCTTGGTTTTCTTTCATTTGCAGCCGTGTACACATCACTGAAGCCACCCTAAAACACCTAGGCAAAGTTTATGAAGTGGAAGAAGGGAATGGACACCAGAGAGACCCATACCTTAAAGCAAATAACATCAAAACTTACCTAGTGATTGACCCAAGGGTAAGAATATGCCTTTTAAATATATATAGTGTTTGCGTACGTGCATGTGTGATGTTTGGATCAAGAACAGAATTCAAATGTGCATCTGGTATGTAGGGAATTGAACTCAGGCTTTAAAACACTCTGGCTTTAAAAACATGTTTCTCTATTGTTTTAATTTACCCGATCAGTCTGAATGCAATAGGAAGTTCATAAAATGATGTGCTCCAATTACTAGAACAGGGGTGGGCAAAATACAGGTCCTGAGCCAGATCCAGTCTGCCAAGGGATTTTATCTGGCCTGTGGCATGTCCCTTGGCCCCTACCCAGCTCAGGCTTGGGGGGCAACACCGGCTGTGGCATGTGTGGCCAGTCCTGCTGCCCCTGGGCATGAAGTGGTTCTGGGGTAGTGGTGGCAGCTTCTTCCAGTTGCTTCTGCTAGTGTTGCTGCTGCTGGACCTGGCCCCACTGTGCCTGGGCACCCTGGCTGGTCTACCCTGCACCCACCATATGGGGGGGCGGAATGGAACTGGCAGGCAGAGTCTCCATGAAGACTGGCCTGGGACCCCCAAAGGCAGGAGGCACTTGGGTGGGTGGGTTGGGGCCACGGGGATGGCACCTGGGAGTGGAAGAGGTGGGTGGTGCCCAGTCCAAGGCCAGGGCCTATATCATGAGGCTGGGGCTGAACTGCAGTGATAGCACAGGGCCAGAGCTGAGCTGCAATCTGCTCTCCAGAAGGTGGATTGTGACCACCAGCCTGACCCAGGAGGGGGCAGAGAGCATGCCCATGCTCCTGCTGTCTGTGCCCCATGATCCTAGCCCCTGCCTACCTGCCCCACTCCTGGATGCCACTCCCCACCCACCCAGCCAAATGTGTCCTGCCTGCCTGCTCTCTGTTGCCGCCTACCATGTAGGAAGTTTTGGTGAGCTGTTGTAGAGGAGGTGATGGGTGCTGACCCAACCAACAACAGCTCACCAAAACTCCCTAAGTGGCCCTCCAGCTGAAATAATTGCCCACCCCTGCACTAGAAGGAGACAAAGAAACACTCATTTTTTAATTGGTTTTTTTGTTTTGCTCATAAATCGGTTTGTGCCAACAAGTTTTGCACAAAACTAATATACCAGTCCTGAATTCCAAATAAAATTTCTTCTGTACATTGTACTCTAAACACTATCAGAAAATCCGCGAACATAACAATGTGAGTGTCCACTGCCTGTAGGAAAACCTCTTTTGAAAGCTACCTGTGCCTGCTGTATTTGCCTCCGTAGTGTATAGCCAAATGCTGACTTTTCACTTAAAACCACTTCTTCCTGAAAGGGATACTCACACCCAGGTTCTACTTAAATACTGAGATTGTACACCCAACCACTCACCCACTTGTAGCCTTTCCCCATCATCTCATGTAGGAGGTGGAAAATAGGCTTAGTGCGACTGATGTGTGAATTAACTCTCAAGTCCCAACCATGAGCCTTTCCTCACCAGTTCACATAATCCACTGTGATTCATTTATTACCATAACACAGGAGGAAGGTCTGTAGTACCCAATAATTCCTGCCTTTCATTGTGTTCCCAGAGCAGAAATTAGATACCCTGATGGTCAGTCCTGAGTTTGACTAATTCTTTTAAATTCCCATTAAAAGTCAGAATTAAGAAAATTTAATAGCCACACCAGAGCGTACAGACAGTAAAAGAGCATGTGTCTAAAACACGGCAAAACCACCATCAGCGTAGCTATTTTCTTTTGCTGTTACTTGTTTTTAATTCCTCCTCCCTGCCATTTCTTTGAGCTCAGTGACATCCACACATAACTTGAGGTGTGGTCACTAGCTGGTACATCTGAGCTATGCACTTTGGGTGTGCAAGAATTGTGCTGGCAAGTGAGACAGCTGCATGAATCTGTAGTTGGGTGTTTAGGGTTTTCCTCTTTGGCCAGCTGCATCAAAACCTACAGGAGCATGGAACGGATTTGGGTAGCTTCCAAGGAGGTGCCTGTGATCACAGATTATTTTCAGATGCATAGGGAAGTGCATCTCAGAGGTCACACAACTTTGTCATTTTTTACCTTATCCTTGCCCTTAACTGGTTGTGTTACTTCCCCTGGGCAGCCACATTCCAGGCTGGGAAACATGCTGTATTGCTCCTACAGTTCCGCTCTGCAGAGGCCACATGCAAGCCCTGATAAGCTATTGATCAAAGATCAGCTAAGTGAGCAGGCCCAACACCCACGCACATGTTAGGTACAAATCCGGCTCTTAATGTGGTCCAATGGTTAGTAGAGTTCAGATGGCTGCTTCTGTGCTGCATTTGATGCTAATTGTGGGATGATGCAGGATCTTAGCCGGGATCCCCAGTGCACGTAGTCTGGTGGCTTCGAGAAAATGCTGTCTCAGTGCTTCATTCTCCTTCAGTGACTTACATGGCAGGTTACCTTTTTGGAAGGTAGGTGATATTGTAACTGCTGGTTACCTAAGTACAACTAGGCAACTGTTGGCTGCACTGGAATATTGACAATTTTGATTTGGTGTTTGTGACAGGGCGCTTGGTGTGCCTATCACTTCAAGAGAGTGTGCAGCCTGCAGGTGTGGCAGGGGCCTGGGCTCACCTGGGGAGGCAGGCCTTGGAAGTGGTAGGCCTGGGAGCAGGGGTGGGTAAGTCTGTAGCCCAGACAGGGGTAGAGGCTGGGCACAGGAGCCCTGGGATGGGGGAAAGCAGCCCAGAGATCAGGGCCAGGGGCCCACAGCTTGGAGAGGGCAGAGGCAGGGCACAGCAGCCTGGGGATCGGAGCACATTGGCCCAGAGATTGGGGCCAAGGTCCCGAACCACAGAGAGGGGCAGATGCAGAGGCAGGTGCCTGCTAGGTTGGGAAATAATGCCTGGGCCAGCTTGTGTAGGAAAAGTGCTACATGCAGGAAAGCTGTGCCTGGAAATATCCCTGAGCACTGAAGTGCCCAAGAGAAGCAGGTAAGCCTAGAAAACAAACTGGGGAGTAGCCGTGGTGAATAAAGTGCCTGGACAGGGAGGCCTAGTTATAGGGCTGAGGCTGTGGCCCGGAAGGACTGGTGATCAATAACACCTGCAAGGTGTGGGTATTGGGGAGGACAGAGCCCATATAATTAGCCCTGAAAGCTACAGGTGCCTTGGGGGCATAGATGAGCCGAGAGGTCCCACTCAACTTAGGGCGCAAACTGAGGCCAGCAGGGTCCGGGAGGGACCTGCTAGTGGCTGCAAGTGACAAGAGTTCACTCCAAGACCATGAGTCTTAGTATCCCTTCCTTAATATCTTAATAAAAGCAAAGCATGGAAGGCAAGGAACCAAGGGAGGGCATCTTAGAGATCGAGCCGGGAAGGAACCATATGGTCACCACCCCTGGGGGCCCGGCCCTCTTGCAGTGTTTTACTGACAAGGAAAAAACACAGGGGGGAAAAAAAATAGCTCTTGCATCGTCTTCCTTAGGAATTGCTTAGGAAGAAACACAGGAGAGCTATTTTCAATTAATGATTAGTGTAGCCCTTC